AAAAAAAAAAAAAAAAAAAATTACATCTTGGGGGCGCCTAAGTGGCTCGGTTGGTTAAATGACTGACTCCCGATTTCGGCTCAGATCATGATCTCATGGCCTCTTGGGATTCTCTCTCTCTCTCTCTCTCTCTCTCTCTTTCTGCTCCTCCTCACCCTCTCTCTTCTCAAAATAAATAAACTTTAAAAAAAATAAAAATTACTTTTTGAAGTAAATAGTGTTTTATATAGTGAGAGAAAAAAATCTACAAGACTCACTGTCACAACAGGCTGTACAAATTGAAAATAGAAACAGGTCTTTACGAAGAACTAGTTAAATGAGAACTGATAGTCACCTAATGCATATCACTGTATTAAATATATTTAACAACACCTCCAGTATACATATGCACCTATATGTATACAGAAATAGATACAGACACAGAAACCTATCATCGTATAGATCATGACACTTACTAGGTACAAGGGAATATCCATGCCCCCAAGAGCCGGCCCCATGGTCACCGGGTTCCGATACGAGACGAAAGCATCCTTAGCCCACTTCCTACCCCAGGGAACACCTCTTCCCCTAATCCCTATACTTGTGGTCATTGCAACTATTAGCCTCTTCATCCCACCAGGTGCTCTGACCTTACGACTCGCAGCAGGTCACCTGTTAATTCACTTAATGAGGAGCTACTCCAGCCCTAATACACGTCAGCACCTCTGTCGCCCTCATTGCCTTCGTTATTCGTGTCTTACTAACAATTCTCGAATTTGCTGTGGCCCTTATTCAAGCCTATGTCTTTACCCTGTTAGTAAGTCTACACCTACAGGAGAGCACCTAACGAGCCACCAAACCCACGCATACCACATAGTTAACCCAAGCCCGTGACCACTCGCGGGAGCTCTGTCAGCCCTCCTGGTAACTTCAGGGTTGGCGATATGATTTCACTTCAACTCAACATCCTTATTAACTGTAGGGTTGACAACCAACCTGCCAACTATATACCCCGATGACGAGATATTGTCCGAGAAAGCACGTTTCAAGGCCACCACACACCTATTGCTCAAAAGGGCCTGCAGGAGGGAGTAATTCTCTTCATCATTTCAGAAGTATTTTTCTTCGCAGGCTTCTTCACAGCCTTTTACCACTCAAGCCTTGCCCCGACTCCGGAGTCGGTGGGCTGCTGACCACCCACAGGTGTTACTCCTCTCAACCCCCTAAAACTCCCAAGACTCAACACCTCCGTACTATTAGCCTTCGGAGAGTCAATCGCTTGAGCCAGAGTACCCATCCAGGGTACCACGGATAGTGACGACTACGTTATAGATCTGATCCTCTCCTAGTAGAGTGCTGGGTGGGCCAAGTTCAGCTCGAATTAGAAGTCTAAGGGCGGTTCCTACTACGCCAGCTCAGGCACCAGTTAGGAGATACAGAGTGCCGACATCTTTGCGGTTAGTAGAAAATGGTGGTTTATGAACATAAGTAAAATGGCTGAGTAAAGCATTAGACTGGAAATCTAAGAACAGAGGTTGAAGCCCTCTTTTGGCCAAGCTCTGTGGTGAAATATCACACTGAATTGCAAATTCAAAGAAGCAGCTTCAACGCTGCCTGGGCTTCTCCCGCCTTTTATTCCTAGATGGTGGGGAAGTAGATTGATTAGGGTATTTAGCTGTTAACTAAAATTTCGTGGGATTGGAAACCCCCCAATCTAGTCAGGACTTAGCTTCATTAACGTGTTTGATTCGCAATCCATTGATGTAAGATAGATTCTTGCAGTCCTTAGAGTTAAGTGTGCAGGACTTACATGGCTATGACGCACTTAGGGCTTTAAAGGCTCTTGGTCTGTTTTAACCTAAACTCCTAATCCAGGGTGGATAATACTGCTGTGAGTGGGAGTGGTATGGTGGAGGTTACGATGGGAGGGGGTATATAAAAGTATGGGCTGAATAGTGTTATGAGGCTAGTCGTGTGGGTATGATAATTATCTCATTTTTCGTTAATTCTTGGATGATTATTCATTTGGGGATGAATCCCGAGGGTGGCGGAAGGCCCCCTAGAGATAGTATTAGCACCAGCATGAGGTGGTTAGGGGTGTTTCATTTCATGTTTGTGATAGGGATAATGTTGGTGTAGCAGGGCTGTGTATGAATAGTATAAAGGTGGCGAGTGTTATAATGATATAGTTAGGGTTTGAATTGTTGCTGTAGGATTATATGGTGTGATAGCTGCGGCATGGGCATGATAGCATGATGGAACAGCCATGGTAACTGTCACTGCCCATGCATGCCCATGATGTGTGCCACATTCTATGTGAGCCGCAGGTAATTAAATATAACCTCTTTTCCCAAGACCTTCCAAAGCAAAATTGGAAGACAAAACATACATTCCCCTAACACCTACCAAAATAAGGATGTAGGCACTGTGTATTCAAGAACTGTCTCTTTGCCAGAACATCAGCTGTAAGAGGGCAAGGACTTTGGTTCATGGATCATCAGCGCCTAAAAACAGTGCCTGGCATATAGTAACTACTCAATAAGTCTATATTGAATGGATACATGACATGCATGGATGGGTAGATATATAATACGGTTAGTGAGTACCTGAGGATTTCAGTAAATATGCACATGTAGATTGGGCCAAATCACAACAGAAATGAGATTTTTAAAGTTACATGGTATATGAAGCTGATGGAGACATTCAATAAAATATCCAATGGTATCATAATCTGCAGTGGTTAATTTTATGCATTAACTTGGGTCACAGAGTGCCCAGATATTTGGTCAAACATTATCCTGGGTCTGTCTATGAGGGTGTTTTTTGGATGAGATTAACATTTAAGTTGGTAGACAGAGTAAAGCCGATTACCCTCCCTACTTAACACAGATGAGTCTTATCCAATCAGCCAAAGGCTTGAATAAAACAAAAAGCCTGACCCTCCTGACAGTGAAGAAGAATTCTTCCCGCCTGACCGCTTTCAACCTGGAACAAGGGTTTGGAGGGTTTTCTTCCCCTGTACTTGGACTTGAACTGAAAAGTCAGCTCCTCCTGGGTCTGGAGGCTGCTAGCCTTCAGACTGGAATTGTACCATTACATCTCTTGGTTCTCAGCCTTCAGACTGGAACGAAACCGTTGGCTTCCCTGGGTCTCCAGCCTGCCAACTCATCCGGCAAATCTTGACATTTGTCAGCCTCCATAATCACATAAACCAATTCTTTATAATAAATCATACATATATACATATATATATATCCTAGTATATATATACAATGTATTCTAGTATGTGTGTGTATATATACATATATATATATATATATATACACACACACATATATATATATACACACATGTATACGTATCCTATTTTGTCTATCTCCTATTTGTTCTGTTTCTCTGGAAAATCCTGAGTAATACATGACCACAGACTGAATCCTAGATGGAGAAATGGTCTAACCAGAATGGTATTTACTATGTTCTCACATTGTATATTCAATCTCACTGATCTCTCCCTTGCCTGGGATAGTTCTCAATAACTAATATTTGATGAGGATCAAAACAATAATTATCCTAGAAATAGCTTATGAAACAAAAATTCTCAGCACCTTTCTTCAGTGATCTTGAATTGGGCATTTTATTTAATGATGACTCATCAAGAAATCTACTTCTGTTTAAGAAAAAAATCATTTGTCATCCAAGATCATTTATCATCATTTTTGAAAAGGTCATTTTCAAAAAAAAAACAAAGGTCATTTTCAAAACATTCATAAAATACATAAGGAACAAATGAACATCCTAATAGAAAAGAGTCAAAGGTTATAAATAAATTCAAAGAAAAAAAACGCAAAGAGCTGGTTAAAACAACTCACTCATTAAGTAAATGCAAATCAAAACACAAAAATATACTATCTTTAACCTGTCACATTGGCAAAACCCAAAAATCTCCATAATATCAAGATGTAATGTCCCATTCACCGTTGAAGATGAGATGCTCTTTAAGAGGAAAAGATAACATTACAAATACACGTTATGGGGTGCCTGGGTGGCTCAGTCGGTTAAGCATCCAATTTCGGCTCAGATCAGGATCTCATGGTTCATGAGTTCGAGCCCCTAGTCAGACTCTGCGCTGACAGCAGGGAGTCTGCTTCAGATTCTCTGTCTCCCTCTCTCTCCGCTCCTCCCCTGCTTTCTCTCTCTCTCAAAAAACAAACAAACAAACAAACAAAAAAATGCACATTACCATTTGACAGCTATCGTACTGTTAGAAACTGGTCCTACAGATATGCTTACAAAAGTGCATCAGGGTCAGATAATGCACCAACATTGGTATTAGCAAAAACCAAAACAACCTGTCACCCCCCCAAATATTTACCTAAATATTTACCAGAAAGTTAATAGCTAAACAATATATTCACTTATTTATTTATACATAAATAATGTAATACTGAACAGGCATTGAAAAGAATGAAGCATACTGAATTTGTTGATATGAAAATAGACCTAAGATATGATTCTGTCCATGACGATGTGTTAAGATTCTCCAGAGAGGGCGCCTGGGTGGCGCAGTCAGTTAAGCGTCCGACTTCAGCCAGGTCACGATCTCGCGGTCTGTGAGTTCGAGCCCCGCGTCAGGCTCTGGGCTGATGGCTCGGAGCCTGGAGCCTGTTTCCGATTCTGTGTCTCCCTCTCTCTCTGCCCCTCCCCCATTCATGCTCTGTCTCTCTCTGTCCCAAAAATAAATAAATGTTGAAAAAAAAAAATTAAAAAAAAAAAAAAAAAAGATTCTCCAGAGAAACAGAAGCAATAGGAGGTAGATAGATAGAAAATGAGGGCGGGTGGGGGGGGGTGGGTGATTTATTATAAACAGACCAAACAACTTGTAGAATGGTTTATGTAAAATAATCCTGTGTGAATATCTTAAAAAGAGCAAACATAAACACGCATGAATAAATACATAAAGATAGTCATATAAGATCAATAGATACATAAACATTTTTCTGGAAGTATATATTGAAAACTATTATCAGGAATTACTTTAGGAAGAGAAAATTAGCTGTTGAGCAGTGAATAGGAGAACACGTATTTTATGACTTTCTTTATAGTATTAATATTTAACCATATATATAACTTTTATTTGTAAATGCTAATTCTAAAAGAAGGCAGAGAAAACCTTATCCGCACCTGATTCTTCCAGGTAATGCTTAACGATTGAAGAAAGTCCTTGAGGTGCCACAAAGTTACAGTCTCCTTCTTTCATTACCATCCCTTCAATTGGAGAGGTCAGAGGTTTCAAAATGCCGTGAGCTAACAGTTCATCATAAAAACTGAAATAAATCAACATATATAATTACATACCGTAATTAGTTAGCTTAAAAATACTATATAGTCTCGTCCAAGAATTCTTAGAGATTATCATTCTAAATAACAACTAGAAATCTTGATATGATCAACTGAATACATGTTTCGTGTTGATAAAACATAGCTCAGGGCGGGCCTGGCTGGCTCCGTCGGTGGAACATGCAACTCTTGATCTCTGGGTCGTGAGTTCAAGCCCCTTTTTGGGCACAGAGCTTACTTAAAAAAATAATAATAAAACAGAATTCAAGTGACGAACAGCAACGTTTGGAGAATCCATAAATCTTCTGCTGACATTAGCAGAAGGCCCATTTTCTTGCATATTTCAAAATTAAAGTCAGTGAAGAAGGTAAACAGAAAGGCAGGCAGGGCACCAATCCTGAATTTGGTGCAGACTGCCTGGCGTCACAGCCAGCCTCCCTCTTCCTCAACCCTGACTCGTTCAAGCACATTTACTGAGACCCCGTGGGGTAAGGGCTCCTCGGGCCTTCTCAATAACCCTGGGAGACCTGTATCCCAGCTTATCCACTTCACTCAGGTTCACGTCTTCCTGCTACCACCACCGACAGCGACAATATTGTCCTGCCCTCACTATACTTTATTACAAGAGGCAGAGTTAAAAATGGATGATCTCAACATGTTTACATCATACACTCAGTAAGAAGGATTCCACCCCTTGCAACTAACTCACCTTTGGTGTTTTTTAGCATAATGGGGAGTGCGGGTGATGTACTGGGCTCCCAAGTCAACGGTGCTCTGTGGATTGCAAGGACTCCGGGCCGTAGCCATTCTCCCTCCTTGAATGAATCCACAGGAAACGTCTTAGTGCATCAGAATGAACCTCCTGCGATTCACGCTGTTCAGCTCAGGTCGGGCCGAACAGATCATAGCCGTATTTTAAAAGACCTTTTGGTGTTTGTTTTTGTTTCAGTTTTAGGCTCTGCAACCTACCATGGTCAGGAAGCAGTCCAGAGGCAATTTGGTCACCGTGAGGCCCTTTCTCAAACAGGGCACAAGAATGGGGCGACAAGCGTTGTTCAGCTCGGCGCCGGGAGCACGGACTCCCATGTTTCATTAAAGAACGGATGAATGGATCAAATAAAACGACACAACGAATGACATGTCAGGATGCATCAGTCAAGGAATGCTTTCACTCTTGCACTCAGGTTTCATGAGAAAACAAGGATTCTGTAAAGTAGGTCTTCGTAAAGTCCTGGCCAACGGGCACTTCGGGATCCTCGAAACGGGGAGAAGGCCACGAAGGCACCAGCAGGCCGCGATGTAAGCCCACGTATTGGCCAAGACCCCAGGCCCAAGCGTTGCAAAGGGCCAGAGCTCCTCCGGGCTCCTCCCTTTCTCCCTCCCGGGGCTCCTCCCGCTCCTCTCACTCCTCCCTCCCCCCCACCCCTCCTTTCCCTCCTCCCGCTTCGCCGGTTCCCCTCGCTCCTCCTGCCGGGGGACCCCTCCCGCTCCCCGACACCACCCCCCACCGCGCCAGGGT